AGAGTTCTGGAGTAACATCAGAACATGCTTCATGCCAAACGTTCTCAAGACTAAACCAATTTTTACTCACTACATAGGAAAACAGATGTATCTGATTAATTCTGGTTCTAGGGAGATAAAGGGTAGCTTTCACTTAAAATAGATGAGTATCTCTGGAGTTTGGAGGATTTTTAGGTAATCAAAAGTGAGCTTGCTAAGCTTGACCACATTTAGGTAACTGAGATCAGCTCAGGTACCAAATTGTGGACAAAAGTTTGGCTGATGTAGAGACAAAAGCAAGCTCAGTATTTGTCTGATACCTGAAAATTTCACTCATTTCACCTTCATGCTTTGCCATTGTGGCCTCTATAGACCCAACCCACTAAGGCCACTAAGTACTATGTGTAAGTCCATCACAAATGTATGGGGACTGTGGTCCCCCTGTAACAGCAGAGAGGCCTTTGAAAAAAGGAAACCTTTAAAAAACCTGCATGTTGTTTGGCCAAAATGAAAGATCTAAGATGCTGTGAATTCAGATGCAAAAAGGCATACTTACTCCCTGGTTACACTTCTAGCTGGCCTTTGTCTATTCCCACATTAGAAAGCTGCTTCATTGTTAAAAACTAAAACCTTTTTGGAAGCGCTGTAAGGTTACTGAGCCAAAGAGCAGGAAATGCAGCTGTGTTAGACCCCACGTGGGGTTATGTGCCCCATACATGGGACTGACAGGAGCTGTGACAGCATTCACCCCTCAGGGAGAAATAAACCCCTGCTTTGAGCCTGACTGTAGAGCCTTGGCATTAAAACATGTGAATTCACAAATGCTCGTGAATGCACACATACCTCTGGAGTTTGCACAGCTTTCAGACTGGCACTAAGAGAAACAAACATTTTTAGAAGTCATTACAAGGAGAAAAATGTCTTATTACCATAGGAACCCTCTCACAATGACATGAGACAAAACGAAGGAATGTTCAGCTTTCTGGTTGTTGATTCTCATTCAGCTCTAACTACATTGCATCCAGTTTTCTGGCATATTATGAATTGAGGTGTTCAGCAAAACTAATTTTTAGTTATCTTTTCTTTTTTCTGGTCATGGTCAAGTTTCCTGTAGATAAGCATATCTATTTGTAATCCGTTTTGTCCTGTCCATACCTATATAGAAAGCTCCTGCCCCACATAAAAAGAGATTTTTTTCCCCCCTATTCTTCTGCTTTTAGGAAGGTATGGCTTACAGCTCTGTGGACTAGGCAAGACCCATGCACCCTTCTGTATGCTCTGAGGGCAGCTGTCTCCCTGTTTGCAGGTAACTCTGAAAGCCACAGAATATTCTGGAATCCCTTTTCCAACACAGGACCAGAAATAGGAGGGCTATTTCCGCTTTTCTGCAGCTATACAGACATGATTTCTCACCTGAATTGCACTCAGCTGTGCCTCCTTCTAATCTTTGCACCATGGACTTCAAGAGCTTTTTTTTTTTCATTAAAAAATTGTGGATTTCATCTTTGAAATTTTTCTCATGGAAAAATGGAGGCTTTAAAAGCATCTGCTTTGGGAATTCTACATCTAGTGTAAAATAATATTGCACACAGAGCAGGAACATTACCACAATAAAATAGAAAAGCACATTGTAAAATTAATTCAAGCTAGTGAAATTGTTATGTCCTTCCATATAACTGAAGGCAAATTTCTTAATAAATCATGAATAGCTGTAATTCCTGAAAGGAATATATTTTGTTTTTCTTGAATGGAGGTCAGCATTTACCTGGACACCTCTGCAAACAGTGCTTTTCTCTCCACAGCATGGCTCCTTTCTCTGATTTGACTTTTCTTTCTAAATTAATTTCTTTGAAGTTTAAAGAATAGTAAAAAATGCAGTGATTTATTTCAGTCATAGAGCAATCACTTTCAAAAAAACCCTCTACTTTAGACATACAACTAAATCAATTTTAGCTAGAACAGTTATCTGCTAAAGGAAGTCTGAATAAATTGAGCCTAAGAAAGGCTTAGGTAAAGGTTAAACCCTGACTTTGCACAAACTTTTATGGGAAATTGGGGCTGCTGTGGATTGCAGATTTTGACTTGATATAGGGCTGCAAATACCTGCTGACAGCACAGAGACCTCTTTCTGCTAAAAAGTCATGAATTGTCACAGTAAAAATCTGGTTTTTAGAATAAGCCAAAGCCTAATGGTTAAACTGTTATTATTCAGCTGTATGTTACCCTGACAGCTTTATGTATTAGTGAAAAAAAAGGGAAGCCAGGGCATAAACTCTGGATTGATTTTTTTTCTCTGACTGAGGAAAACAGCTTTGCTGGTTGTTTGTTTTTTAATTAAAAACTCTGATTGAAATGAGATTTTCAAACCCGCATAATTTTACTGCAAGTGCTATGTCTCATTTTCCAAAATGATCTGTCCATTTGCTGCATAGTGGTAGGATGTGTGTTCCTGAACACCTGAAGGAATGTTAGCTCAGGTTGCTTTTACCCAAAAGAAATAGGGACAGTCAGTGTCAAAGTCAGTAATGTTATTAAAATATAGACAAAATATATTTTAAACAATGTATAAAGGAACAATAATATTTTCTGTATTTTTTCCTCTCTGAATAAGTCAGTACTCTTGGTCCTAAATGCCTCTGACTTAGCCAGCAGAAGTTTTTATTGACAGTGAGTTGAATCTCAGAGTCCAGAGGCTTGAGCACACTAGTGGAGTGACATTTCAGATAACAGGGGAAGCAGCTGCCTTCTTGCCAATAGAGAAGATGAAGTTGATTTTTCTCTTTTAACACAGATTTCCTTTTAAAACTGATTAGCATGCAATCTGGGGACGTGGCGTTTGGATGCATCTTTCAGTGCACTGAGGAATAAAACCATAGTCTAATATTTCAAAAGTTTCAATCTTTGGCAAAGTTGCAAGTACAACTGGAAAAGCAAGGTATTTTTGTGTGGCATCAGGAGTCTTGTACGTGATGATGTGTAACACAGCTAGTGCGAGGCAAGGTGCTGCTGTTTGGCGAGCACGTGCTCTGGTTTCTGCTCTGCTGCTGGCTGCACTTGCTTCATTTTTTTTTCTTTTCCTTCCCATTCCCCATATCTTTAACTCTTGTGGGCTGGAGGACACCTCAGATGTGCAGGATCCTGCCACTTTCTCACACCCCCAGTGCTCCACATCCATGTCCAAGTGCCATGGTGCTGCACACAGCCCTGCTGCTGCTAGCTCTCCTGTCCTACAGCAGCTGCCTGAGGCCAGTACCACAGGGCAGCTGCTGGGTACCAACAGGAAAGGATTTTTTAAGTTTGCAATTATTTAATGGAAAAACTGAGGCTTCCCAAAAGGACAAATCCCCAAGTTTTCTTCCAGTGGTGCAAATCCAATTTTGTCAGTCTCCCTGGCAGTATCAGGGACTGGTCTTTCCTTCCTACTATCTTACAAGCAATGAAGGAAATCACCCAAAAGCTGTGCACCCAAGGGCTGTGCAAGGGAGGCCATTTTTCACTCCATTACCCCAAAAATGGAACTTTGAGTTTGTGTGCACATGATTTCAATTTTGTAAAGCCCCCAGCTCCCTTCCTCCGTGGCTGAGTTCCACAGCTGCTGGTTCCCCCTTGCCTGGGCTCAGTTCCTTGGCTGCTCTGCCCACTGACCCCCACCCCACCAAGGGATCTCTCCTGCTCCACAGGAGTAGATAATTTGGAGATTTCAGTGTGTCCTGCCTACAATATACAATAAGGCAGGTGAGAAAGCAAAGCTGTGAAGACAAAAATCCCACCCTGAAAAATCCATCCCGAAAGCATGAGCCATAAATAAAGCACACAGAGAGGAATTTTCTTTCTTCAATTTAATTGAAGTTACTTAGAAAAATAATCAGGCTTGAATGGCTTTTTTAAGGAAAGATTCATGAGCAGTTCACACTTGTGTTGGCAATGTATAATTTATCTTTTTTTCTTTATTAACAGTATATTTAAGTATGAGGAGATACTTTTCTACAACAAGCCTTCTACTGCATACAAATAGGTTAAAAAAAAAAAATCCAACCCCACATTGATGTTAAATTATTCGTACACATTGTATTGTGCATGCATGTAAGAAAATAACACTCTCTGTAACAAGAGTAATAGTAAGGACAGTCCCTTTTTGTACCTGAAAAGTGCAGCAGACTACAGTGAAACCCTAAAACATCTGGGGTCAACTTACTTCTAAAAGCACTTCTGCTCGTGGGTTATTTATTTCACTTGTCTTTCACAGCGCATGGTTCAGGCAGTTTGCACATTTCTGTCATAATGGACGTGGTTTATGAAGAGGCTGAAGCAAGGATTGAGCCAGGTTTGGGGCACATCCCACCACCCAGGAGTCACCACCACGTTCAGATGGGCCAAATCCAGCCTTGCACTCCAGGTTGAGGTGTTTGGGGCCATTTGGGGGGAATGACCCCTCAGCTGTTGGTATTGTGCCAAGTACAGAGCCACCAGCACTGCTGGGCTCAGCGCTGGCCCTGCCAAATGACAGGGAGGCATCAGACATGAGGGTCACTGCTCCAGCAGATCTGAGGGGGCTGGGGACAGAGGTGGGGAACAGGAATTCCCCCACTGGGTCCTCTGTGCTCATCACTACTCGACATAATTAATGCACACCTTTCTACAACAGCAGCTTCCTGGGTGGCCCTTGCAGCCCCACAGGCACGTCTGTATTTTACATTGTGCCGTGGCTCTGTGCTGCCCGCTTGTCTCCCAGCGTCAGCTGCGGCCACAGCAGAAATGGAGCCAGGAGAGAGGCAAAACTCAAGAGCAGAGTGGCCCCTCTTCTCCTCCAGCTGGGAAACCCAGCAAAGAGTAAGAGGGTAAGGTAAAACCAACCCAGTTCACTGGCTGCTCCCCACTGCCAGCTCACTGATATGAGCACGAACAACCCTGAATGTCCTCCTGTGTGGCTGCAGTGGAAAGAGATTTTTTTGGCTCAGACAAAACAGTACACGCAATAGACCAAAAGAAATGGCTATTCCTTAACATCTGTCATTCTGCTCTGAGCTGGGCTTGCTGCTCACTGCACAGGACACGACCAGATCCAGCATGTCAGCTGTCCATTTTAAACACACATCTACAGCCCATTCACGGCACCTCAAAACAGATATAACACACTAAACAGCCAGGTTGTAGTAGTTTGGGATCAAGGATTTTCAAAAGCAAGTGACTTCAAGCACCCACTGAAGTCCACATAAAAACCTCCTCTGTGCTGAGCATTCACCTATAGAGCTGCCCTTTGTGGGGAGCCAGAATTTGGGTAATCCAACCCAAAGCTGTTGCTAAAAATCCCAGCTGGAGCAACAGTCACCCCTCAGATCACCTGAACGCGTTTTTCACCTAAAGCTTTTCTATCACAGCTACCATATAGAGGTTTTGTGTCTCCAAAATTGTGAAACTACAGAGAATACTTCAGAATGCATAAAAATGTGGTGATGATGCCAGAGAAAACTACAAAAAGAAAGGGGGAAGCACACACTGTTCTTTAAATATTTACTTTCTGAAGCAACTTTTGACTGAAATGAAAAAAATCACATCACATTCTGTTGGATGGGTTAACAGCTAACTGAGAAGAAAATTGGGCCAAAATATGAGCACTGTGGGATGCAAGACCAAAATACAAGCACACGAATAACTTGAAGGAAGTATTGTGGGGGGGGAAAAGAGGAACCTGCCTCAGACAGTTGTTTTTTTAACAAACCTACAACCATTGAACAGGGAACATAAGAGAGCCAGGGCACACTGTGAGGCACTTGCAACAGCTCCACATACTCTAAATGAGACTAAACTGCTTTAAAGTAAAACAACATCCAGCAATCAGCAATGGATCAGGAATTCAGAGGGGTCACACACAGCCAGCCAGGCTCTTGTCAGCCACTGCCCCAGCGCTCCAGGTTATAAATAGAGCCTGGGTTATGAAAACTGTGGCAGTTCCAGAATGGATAAGAGATTTATTTGTATGGTATGATAGAAAAATTAATGACCCGAGTCCTGCCTAAGACCAAATCCAATTGCAAAATGACTTCAGTTGCTGGTTGTTATGTTAATTTGTTTTTCAGTGAGATTTGATCAGCAACTTATTTTCATCAAATAAAATGCAAACTATTTTTCTTCTTTAATCACATCTGTATCCTGGAAACTAATATAATTCAGTGAAAATTACTGGCTACTGTACAATTTGACATTTTTCAGGATCTGGCTCTGATACTGTTAAAACAGCTCTACCTTCAGCTGAGTTTGTTTAAATCATCAGTCATTTTTGAAAGGGTATGTTTTGATCATAAGATTGACATGCAGGCAAGTTAAACCCCCCATTTTTAACCATGTATCAACTTTAAAACAGATTTTATATTTTCAGAAGTGCCTCAATTTAGCCTATGCCTCCTTTTGCCCATCAGCTGCCTGTGGGCACTGAAGTGGCTACAGAGCATTCCCTCACCTGCATCCAACTGAAGCAAACATCTGGAGAAGCTTGAACTCTTGCTCCCATTAGCTGGCTAACAGATACACACTGAAATCCCATTTTTCATTGTTTATCTGCTCTGTATAGATTACTATTTGCTTACCCAAAACAATCTGCCATCCCAAAAAGCTATTAAACACAAAACAACTGCTACTGAGACATTCCCCTTAAGAAAAAAGGTCATGGTCTTACACTAGAGATGACTTAGATAAATTTCTAACTCACTGAACTTAGAAAAATTCCTGTCAATTCCTGGCATTTAGGCATCAACTGAAAAAAGAAGGCTTCTTCTTCTCCCTTGGAAAAAGCCATGAAACCAGCATGTAGGAAGATGAGACCTTTTTTATTGCCTTGCATGCTTAGAGAATCAACATGAAGATGTCTTTTTGAATTTTCAAATGACATGCTCAGATTGGTTATAGCAACACACCATGACCAGTGTCTCTCCAGCCAGTTTTGGTTGCCTATCTTAGGATCAATTAGAGAGGCACAACTTGAAGAGGATGGAGGTCGCCACAGCTCCATACTGGATATAAATTAAGTCAATGCCAATTGCTTTAGGCATTCAAAAAATCTCTTACAGTCACTTTCCAAATGCTGATTCTTTTCTGATGGACCATCCTAAACTCATTTGGGCCGGAAGGCTTCAAATGAAGATACAGTGGGAATAGTCATATTCTCCATAAACTCATTAAGACTTAGAAAAAATTCATGGTTTCTCTTCCTAAGCAATACATTCACATTTCTTTCAGTCATGGGTTTTAGAGATCATGAATCTACCCAAATCTGAGTTACTTTTCCTTTTTGGGGCCAAGAAAGATAGATTTTGTACTGGTATTGAGTGCCACATCACTTTCTGAAGAACTCACTTTCGCCACTTTCCTCAAAGCGTGTGTTATCCAGAACCATTCCCGTATTTACCTGCATCAATGGCTAATGGAAGAATATTATTACCCAGAACAAGCTCGATCGAGGAAAGCACAAAACCAGACTCCTTTTGTCCACGTTACCTTATCTCTGCTGCTGAAGTGAGACCTACCAAGAGACAATGTTTTAAATAAGTATAAATAACATTAATTAGAACTGGAGGAATGCAAGATCAATGAAATTCACCAGAACACAATTAACATTTGTTTAAACAGTGTAGCAGTATTATTAATTTCTACAGCTAGATCGTCACAATCCTGTTACCCTGCAAAGAGAGCTGTCCTTTCTTACAGTTGATTTAAATAATTTTGACTGTGCTGCTCGCAGCATCATTCAAAAAAAGAAAATATTAATTTACAAAATAACCCATTCTCCATATTTATTATGACAAATAAAAATCTTAAATAAAACAGGCTTTCTCTCCCCTCTTTCCCCCCAACCCATCCCTCATTCCAATTTCAGGTAGCTTGGCACTGAGTAATTAAACATTAAAAAATCAAGTTTGTAGACTTCATACAGCTGCGTTTGGTGCAAGGAGCTGATGTTCTGGAAGAACTCTGTGGTCATTTCATCAGTAGTTCTCGTAGACTTTGCATAGGTGGGGAATTTCAGGTAGTTGCCTACTCCCGCCAGCTGGAGAATGTAATTCGAATCCTCTTCGAGTGTTTCGTACTTTCCTATGAGGTCGTAGTGGATGTGGCAAGGGTGGCAGAGGGAGTACACAGTCTGCCAGTGCTCGTTGAAGGGCTCTTCTCTTTGGGTGTGTGGGTCGATGAGATACGCCACGAACTCTTCGAATTTCACGTCATCACCTTTCCGCAGAGCTTCCTGGGTTGCGTTTTTCCTCTGGCGCCTCACGATTTTGGTGCCGTATCGCTTGTGGAAGGAAGTGTTGTACTTCTGGGTGAACTTGTTCCTGTAGGCTGACACCAGTCTTTCAAAAGGCTCGCGAACAAAGAGGAACTTCATGTAGTTTTTCAAGCGGTGGTTGATCTCTGGGATGCTGTACTGGTTGAGGGTCTTCAGGTTTGAAGACACGTGGGCTTCGTTGGCCGGGATTTCCATCGGATCGCTGTACTTGCCTCTTCCCGTCAAAACCATCATGACTCTCTTCCAGTTTGTGCAGGCCACTTTGGGAACATAGCAATAGATCATTTCATGATCTTCATCCACGACCAGATGCTTGAGATCGTTGGGTGTCAGCACACGGCGCTTCCTGCTGGACACGCTGTTTGCTCGGCACGTGTCTGTCACTTGGTCTCGCCTGATCTGATGAAGAATTGCTGTGTTGGACAACTGCAAAGGAAGCACAGGCACCAGTAGGTCAAGGGCTGGGAAACTCAATGCCTTTTTTGCTTATTATACAAATTCACAGAGAAGCAGATCTTTCCTTGCATGGATTAATTCATTGTGTGGCTGACTACAACTGATACTATTCTAGAAGATTAACTGCTTTTGTCACCAGACTTCTTGATACACACTGATTAAATGCTGTTCACGGAGCATCCAGAGCTTTGCTTTGAAGACAACATGAAGGAGCACAAGTGCTCACACAGCATGGTGGCAAGTGTATTTACAGAACCCTCATCCTGAGATGTGCTTCTCTTAGGCCTGGAAAACAAATCTCACCTTCACTCTGCAATCCAACCCACCGCTACAGCAGTGTTGGACCTTTTGCTGCTGTGATGGGATAGGAAGATACTGGAAAAATTGACAAAATGTAAACAGTGTGTGTTCTTGTTACTGGTGTCTTTTAGGTTAGAAAATTTAATAGTCATGGCTTGTTGTTTGGCTATGGCCTTGAATATGGCTTTTACAGCTATGGCCAGAATAAATGAAGCCCATGGATATATCCCTGCTACTCTCCAAGAGGAAAATTCATTCAGATATGATGACCATGCCAGTGCAGGGCTCCTGTGTTTGGTTATTCAGAAGTGTCTCTGCATGGCATGGGGTTCTGCTGTGCAGCCCTATCCTCACTGCTACAAATCCCTTATTACTTATTGAGAATAAACTGCATCAAAGCAACAGTGGGAAGATTTTAGTAATGTTATTTACATTTATTTAAAACTATTTACCTGAGAATTTCAAAGAGCCTTATGCTCAATAATTAATTCAGCCTCAAAGATGAGAATTAAGGCATGTATTGACCTTCCTATTTGATAGGCAAGGAGGTCTCAGATTCCTTCTTGTATGCTGAGTCTTTCAAAAGTATTTATCTTGTACCTTCCTGTTGAATTAACATGAATCACAGAACACTGAAAAGAAGTATTTGAGGCAATGTAGGCTCTATACACTTGCTGTGTGTGTTCCTTTGGTTACAGGGGCCAGTAACCAGACAAGACCAGCACATGCCAGGCAAAACCCTTTGTCCTTGGCAAATAGTTTTGCACCAGCTTGGGAGGTCATACTGAACCTCCAGTTCCTGCAGTCATGGGCCAAATCTCTGCTTTCAATAGCAGTACTTAGCCATGATTCATATTTAAAACACCCGTCAAAATTCAAATAAAAGAATCCAAATGAACTTTAGAGTTAAAACCCAAATGAAACTCCAAAATGGGACCAAGCCAGTTGTGGGATTTCTGAGCTTTGGAGAGAAAGGAAATAGAAATTGCATTGTTGCAGACAAGCACTAAGAGCCCAAGTTTCACTCACCCAAGGAGCAGCAAAAGCTTCTGCACCACATGAACAAGAGACTTTCCCTCTCTCTGGACTGTGGTGGGTTGCAGAGAAATGTTTTCAAGGGATGAGCAACACCAAGGGGCTGCTGCAGCTCTGAGCAGGAGGACTTTTTCTTAAGAGAGTGTGTATGTGCCAAGCCTGGGACTTCTGTATTTTGCACAGTGCCACCCACCACTTATCCTCTGAATCCCCTGATACTTTCCTCAGCTCTTTTGCCCCTCTGTTTAGTAAAATACTGGCTAGTGGTTAAAATGTGCAGTAGCCCAGAGCAGCTCTTTTAGACGGCTTCTCTTGTCTTTTGTGTGTGTGTGGTATCGCCCTGGATACCTCCCAGGTGCACTTCAAGGAGAGTTTTATGTTAAAGAGATGAGAAGTCAGATGTGAAATGTGCTTCGTGCTTCCTAGGAAAACTGACTGGCAGGAAGTTTCCATATTAGATGTTACAAAGTAGTTGTCAGGGACCACACAGATTTTTCAAGAAAATTACTTTTTTTTTTTTAAAAATAAAAAAAAAAATCAAAAAAAAATCCCTATTTCAATTTCTGATATCCTCAGAGTAAAACAGAAGTAATGGATCTCAACCAGCTCTATACTGGTTAGCTACCAGTCAATAATTTCCAAAGAACTAAACAAAACCCTATGCAAACACACAGACATACAAATTCTCCTTTGCAGATAAAAAGCTGAAATCTCCCCTCCTGCAGATTTTCATCAAAAAACAAATAGCATACGAGTGTTGTTTGCCCCAGGTTTTAGAGTAAAAAAAGAAGAAAGAAATGCCTGAATATATTGCTATATTATAATATGTTAATGCACTGTATTTGATTTTCTGGGGCTGTTCTTAGGATAAATACAGAATTAAGTGGATGAGATTCTATGGTCTGTATTAGATAGAAGGTTAGATTTGATAATCTAATGGTTGCTTCAGACCCTAATCTGCAGATGAATCTTTGTAGAGCTGTGCTTTGGTCCTGATTTCAGTCCTCCAACAACAGGCTAAGCACTTTTCCCCCATCCATTAACATTAATGAGATTTTTCAGACATTTAGGGTAAGGGGTAAAACGCAGCCTTAGTATTTGCAATTACCAATGAGCTTGTACTACATTAAATTATAGCAATGCAACAGCAAAAGGGGATTGTCTAGTTCTCATCAATGACAGCACCCTTTGGTATGGCTGATGGATGAAGGGCCATGCAGGAAATGGAAAGCTTGACTTCCTTTTTATTCTATCCTACTGACTTCAGTTTACTAAAACAAGAACAAAAACAAAAAAAGGCCAATCTAGTGACTGTCTTAGAACAATGCCAAGTGTATCAAAGCCCATTTCTTCTGCAGCTGACTAACACACCTGATGCACTCTGGAAGAGCTGACCTACCTGTTTCCTCCAGAGACACAAAGAGTCCTGCTGGCTCTCCTCGAGGTTTGATGGGAACAGCTCTCTTGCTGAAGCAGTGGCTGATAGGAAAGCCACACTGACCCTGCTCAAGTGAAAGGTCAGGTAAGGCACCTGACAGCCTTTTATGGAATCCTGAAAGAACCACCAAACTCTCCTTTGCACACAGGACATGCTCTGTGGCCCCTAGAGTCTACAGCACCATGGAAAGTAATCATAAGAGCGTTTTCAATTTAGAATTTTGAAACTATACATTAACAGTGAGTTAGCTGATGACAATATGGTTCCTTTTCATTTTAAGTTACAGGCAAGGCTTTTAGGCTACATAACAATTTCATCCTGAAGCTGGTGAGGGGAACTTGGGAAACAGTAAATTTAAATGAGACTGGAAATACATTTGTTTAAACTAGAGGTCCACTTGGCCAGGCAAAAAGTGCAAATGAGCTCACAGCTAATGAGGAAAATATATCCCACAAATTTAAGCAGCCAGAGAGAAGATCCAAGGAATGATGGTGAAGGACAAGACAGAAAATTAAAGTCACAGACTGTCCTCCTCCAAAGCTGTAACACATGTGGCTACAGCAGAGTCGTGAGTGTGCAGCTGCCTGGACACTGATGGCTGTGCCTGTGCTCACTACCAGAGGTCTCTGCTGACCCCTCAGTTCTAGAAACCACAGTAAGTAATGGTCTAAATCCAGTTTGGGAGAGGACACTTTTAAATGTGTGTGCAGATTACCCTGAGAGCAGTGTGAGGATGGTGATAATGTCAGTGCTCAGGTGTGTCCTCTGACAGTTCAACTTGGACTTCATCAGGGCATTAAAGGTTTTGGGAAGACATCTGATAAAAGCAGCTGTTCTCCCCTGAGAGAACTGACACCAGAGATGCACTTAATCATGTTTTTGTTTTCCTGCAGAAGTAGTAAAGGGGGACAGAGAAGAAGGGCATGTCAAGATCAAAGCTTTCCTTCCTTTTCTGATGCAGCAACCAAGTTGAACAGTGAAGCGACATGAGCTGCGGGAGACTTCTAAGCTCAGTGGCATTAAAAGCAGGAAAAGAAAAAAGTAGGCTGGGGACACTCTGATCCCAGAAGCTTCTCATTTCCATCAGTCCCAAAGTAACAACAAGGGAGGAAAGTCCAGCACACTCTGCCCATGTGGATGTCCTGTTCACTGGAAGGTGGTGGGGTGTATGTGCAGCAGGGGCAGGAGGGTTTTTTGTGGAGAGCACTAGAGAATATACTGACCAGAAATGCATATGCTGACCAACTGGCAGTCATCAACTCATTACAGGCAAAGGTTATTCAAGGTAAACCAGAGTAATGAGATGGGAGGTATTTCCTTCTGGTTACTTAGGCACAGCAGGATAAAGTAATCTTTGCAGACCTTTCCAAGCTTGATGGCCAAGCAGCAAGTACGGATTCAAACACAGGGAAATTTTTTTTCCCCCTGAATATAGTAGTGTACTGAAAACCAGGTGCAAAGATTAATTCAATTCACAGGTATCTGCACTACAAGCTGTTTTTTTAATACAAGGATGGAAATACTGAAGTGTCACTGAAAAAGCCCATTAATTAAATTCTGTCTCACTATAAAAAATATGGTGGAAAGCAGTACCCTCCACATTTACCAGGCAGGGTTTTGTTTACTTCTATTGCATTGCCTGCAGCTAGTTCTGTATTACTGTAACCAGGCTCACAACCAGCCTATGCTGGGACTGCTAGCATGATATTTGATCATGGCAGACTGAAGGCAAAATTATCCAAATTAGTTTAGCATGGAATAAAGAGGATAAATACTGTCAATGGCGTTTGCAGGCCCAATCCTTGATGAATTGGTTTTTCTCTTCAATTTTGCCTTAACAAAGACTTTGCATCTGCCTTTAATTCTTCAGTTACCTTCGTGTTTGGAGGTTTGGTTTGTGTCCTATACTAGAACTCTGCAAGTTGCTGCAGAGTTCCCCTCCTCTGTGGTCCATCAATTAAAAACCAGCTGACACCCAGCTGGGTCTATCCAGCACTGTTAAAACCAGAGCTCCTCTCCACCAAATTCTTCTTCACAGTATTTGTTCAGAAGGGATGTGTGTAGCAGCCTCAGAATCCACAGAAAGAAAGGTCCTAAAGTGAGAACTGTCAGACAGACTAACTATAGGTGGCACTAATGGTCCTGGTTGTGTGACATCGAGAGAGACAGTTATCTGAAATCCGTTATTATCAGCTCT